TTTAGAATCTTCCAATATTCATCAAGTAAGCTGTGCATACCTGGAGAGGGGTTTTGGGGGTCAACGCCCCCGCGGCCCGGTCTGTGACCAGGCCTCATGGTGGATCAGGGCCTGATCAACCAGGCTGTTGCTGTTGGCCGCACACAACCTGACGTATGAACCATAGCCCGGCTAGTCAGGTACTGACTTTAGATGCCTATCCAGAGCCTTCTTGAAGACAGCCAGGGATCTATTGGTAATCCCCCTTATGTATGCTGGGAGGCAGTTGAACAGTCTTGGGCCCCCTCACACTTATTGTGTTGTCTCTTATCGTGCTAGTGGCACCCCTGCTTTTCATTGGGGGATGTTGCATTGTCTGCTGAGTCTTTTGCTTTCTTAGGGATAGATTTTCATGTGCAAGTTTGGTACTAGTCCCTCTAGGATTTTCCAAGTGTGTGTAATCCTGTATCTCTCCCGCCTGCGTTCTAGGGAGTATAGGTTGTAGAATTTCCAGCGTTCCCAGTAACCGAGACGTTTTATCGCAGTTGTGTGTGCAGTGAAGGTTCTCTGTACATTTTCTGGGTCAGCAATTTCACCTGCCTTGAAAGGTTCTGTAATGCGCAGCAATATCCCTGCCTAGATAGAACAAGCGACCAGAAGAGTGTCATCATAGGTTTGGCATCCCTAGTTTTTAAGGTTCTTATTATCTATCCTGTCATTTTTCTAGCAGATGCGATTGATACAGTGTTGTGGTCTTTGGAAGTGAGATCCTCTGACATTATCACTCCCATGTCTTTTACATTAATTTCTGTCTCTATTGTGTGGTTGGAATTTGTTTTATATGTTTTCCATATTGGAGGAATTGAAATTTCTCATCACTGAACTTCATATTATCTGCTGCCCATTTAATGATTTGGTTAATGTCCGCCTGGAGTCTTGCAGTGTCTTCAATGGAGGAAACTGTCATGTAAATTTGGGTGTCATCTGCAAAGGAAGACACGGTGCTGTGGCTTACATCTCTGTCTACGTCAAATATGAGGATGAAGAACAGGATGGGAGCGAGTAGTGCCTTGTGGAATAGAGCTTTTCACAGTAGCCATCTCAGACTTTACTCTGTTTACTACTGCTCTTTGTGTTCTATTTGTTAGGAAGTTATAGATCCATCTACCAACTTTTCCTGTTATTCATTTATCACACATTTTGTGCAGTATTACACCATGGTCACACTTGTCAAAGGCTTTTGCAAAGTCTGTGTATACTACATCTGCATTTTGTCTGTCTTCTAGAGCATCCAGGACCTTGTCATAGTGGTCCAGTAGTTGGGACAGGCAGGAGTGACCTGCTCTAAACCCGTGTTGCCCTGGGTTGTGTAAGTGATGGGTATCTAGATGAGTGGCAATCTTGCTTCATAGAACCCTTTCAAAGATTTTTATGATATGGGATGTTAGCACTATTGGTCTGTAGTTCTTAGATATTGCTTTACTGCCACCTTCGTGGAGTGGGACTATGTTGTTTTTAGCAGCTGTGGGATGACCCGTGTGCCCATGCTCCCTCTCCATAGGATGTTAAAAGCACATGATAGGGGTTTCTTGCAGTTCTTGATGAACACTGAGTTCTACAATTCTGGGCCTGGGGCAGAGTGCATGGGCATGTCATTTATCACCTTTTTGAAGTCATCTGGCATCAGGATAATATCAGATAGGTTTGAGTCTACCAAATTCTGTCTCTCGCTCATAAAAAAATTATTTAGGTCTTTGACTCTCAGTCTGGTTAGCAGCTCGCTAAAAACCCAAGTCATATTGGGACTTAAGTTGTTCACTCATTTCCTTGCTGTCATCTGTGTAGGACCCATCTTGTCTAAATAGGAGCCCAATAATGGATGTTGTTCTCAACTTAGATTTGGCATAAAGAAATATTTGAGGTTTCTTTCAATTTCATTCCGCCGCAGATCTGCAGTGTTTAGCGGAGTGTCCAAAACGCCAGCAGTTATGACACTGTTGGGGAGTGGAAACTAGGCAATGTCCCGCAATATAGACAGAGGACGGAAGTTAATGGCAGTCGAAGGTTAAACGAGCAATGTTACTAGGAAAATGCCTCCGCCCATGAGCAGGCAGGATGTATGTATCTACCTTGAGAACAGGGAGGCTCTGAAGGGCTGATTGTTCTAAAATATCCTCGCCTCAAGACAAAAAAATCACTTTGTACAATGGTATGTGGTAAGACCACAGTACCACTGCAAGAATTAAGAGTAGTGTGCTTACGAACAGTGACTGGTATGTTATCTATGGAAGAGATGCAGGAGAGAGTATGAGTTTGCTCTGAATTCTGCACTGTTACGGCACGCACACCGCTTCGAAGAGTGTGGAAGGATATACTTTGGCCAACATGCTGTAAAAGAATTTTGCGTACTCGTTAGTCTGGTATGTAAAGGCAGTGAGTGTCGAGTAGGTTGTAGAGTGGTCATCAACGAACTGTCGTCAGTAGGTTGCCTTGGACGCTTAGGAGTAAAACCGTGGGTGGTCTGACCTGAGGGAGGTGGGCGATCCAAGAACCATCTTACTGTATTTAGGGAAGCTGGACACATTGTGAAAGGCGTGCTAGAAGCAGCAGCATGAACAGAAGTGGGTGACACCGCAGCACCTGAAGCAGGTGACGAGGTGTCACCAGCAGAAGGTACAGGGGTACGAGAAGCCGAGAGAATGGTCCGATAACGAAGCCAGGTCAGAATGAACAGGGTGTGGGATCAGAATGGGGCCTGGGAGGAGGAAGGGTTTCACAGGGCAAAGACTCCATAATAATAGGTGCATCTTCTGTAATATCTTCTTTCTTATTAAGAAAAAAAGAAAGAAGGAAAGAAAAAAAAGAAGGAAAGAAAAAAAAGAAGGAAAGAAAAAAAAGGAAAGAAAAAAAAAGAAGGAAAGCGGAGGGACAGTCGCTAGGAGGTATGGAGGGGCCAAAAGCTCCTCCCCTCATCCGAGAGGGCCTCGAGCTCACTGGCAGTGAAGATGCAGTGTAGAACCCATGCCATAACCTACCTTTCACACCAGGAAACCAGCACTCTAAGATAGCAGTCTCACATCCACCGAGCTACCTTGGCAGACAAACGAAAGGACAGTCGGAAACCTGCCAAAAAGCATACTTCCTTCAGCTGCCACCCCACCCAGAACCGACAGGCAGCTTCTGAAGATACACCCATCATCTAAAGGGCACCCTGCCCACGACCCAGAAATCTGGGAAGGGAGCAGGGCATCCTCATACAATTGAGATTCCACGGCAAACTACACCACCCCCGAGCAACTTCATGGAGGGGGACGAACCCTGGCACGCCACCCCCACTTAGAAACAACCGTAATGCCAGAGGGAAGGACCCCAGAGGCTATGAACAGGATGGGGAAAAAGGGGAGGGGAGGGAAGGGGGAAAAAAAAGAGGGGGTATGGGGAGGAAGGGATAGGGAAAGGAGGATTGGGGGGTACTTAGACTCAGTCTAAGGAAGGAGACCAAAGGAATTGATTTCTGAGACCAATAGCCTCTTTGCCATGTCATGGAGCACCCCTTGAAGAGGACTGATTGTATTGTTCCATTACTTTTCTCTCAGTTGTTTGTAAACAGATCAAGAGCATGATATTTGTTTTCAAGTGAATATTTGACTCATTACCTTTAAACTTCTGGAAAATCTGAGACAACATATGCTGTAAATAGTTTATTTATGAATGGTGTTAACATTGAAATGATGCTATATTTACTTAATTCTTGAAAATTTAGCAAACTTCTCATTCTTAGAAATGATATACAACTTTCCCTATATATTAAAAAAAAAAAAAATTATACTTTGTAGAAAAATCTTCCCCATAGTTTACTGGTGGTGTACTTCAAGTGTTACTCCAGTAACCATTACCATAACGGTTTGCAAGAACTGACTTACAGCACCAATTGATAAACATTATAACTATTTGCTTGTGCTGGAGCTCACACATTATAAAACAAAAGGCTCTTCATTAAGGGTTTTTTCATTAGCTACTTGAAAATATAAAAGTTTCCCAAGAATTACCATGGAAGAAATTGAGTTTAAAACGGTATGCAAGCCAAAAAATTTTATTACTTAGCAAATATGTATATTTTGAGAAAATACAAAGCAAAAGTGTAAGTAATATTACCATAAAAGTTTTTTATGAATGAATATTGTATTATAGTTTAAAGTTTACTGTGAACAAAGTCAAGTTACTAAAAACTTTATTATAAAATGCAGAAATATTGTCTTCAAAAAATGTGGTAAGGTAATGCAGTTTCTTCTCTTGTTTATTCACCAGCAGGCCAACTAATTCCACAATGCGCAAGAAGGCATGCCAAGAAAACTTTCCAAAAATAGGGTGAATTAATATTATATACCAAGCACTAAATTCACAAACAGGATAGAGCAATGCTTAATTGTATCAGTGTTTCCGATTATACAGTACTGATTTATATAGGCCTAATACAATGCTGGTAATTTAAGACAAAATATGGCTTTTGTGATATTTTAATACTTTAATGAGGGAATTATGATAAATCATCCCAGACATTATCATTATTATTTAAAAATTAACATCAATTAATGATTCAATTAAATATGGTAACATGAATAACCCAGAAACTACATTATTTGTTTGGCTAAGAACTTAAGATAATCTAGTCTGCTTTTAATGCAGGGTAAGAGAACAAGCAAATTTCTGCTATACACTGTGAAGTGTATTACATACTGCTAGAATTTCAAATAATGGTATAAAGCGAGACTGTATTTAATCCAAAAAATCTAACTGCAGTATATTAAACTTTTTATTATCTTCATAGCATCTAAATGGAAAACAAATCTCTCTAAATATATATATATATATATATATATATTATATATATATATATATATATATATATATATATATATATATTATATATATATATATATATATATATATACACACACATTAAATATTACATGTTTTCATGCAGTGATATATTAGGATAAGTATCAGAATGAAAACCAATATAATGTATAAAATTTAGTTATAAAGACTTCCAAGCTCTTTTCCTGGGCTTTAATTAATTATGTATGCATGTCCATTGTCTTTACTGGTATAAAATCTCTAAGGAAGTTCATCCTTAATGCTAACATCACCAATGCTACTCCGACAGGAGCAATCCATGCTTATATAATGCACTTTAAACTATTCTGAATAGCCATTACAGTACAGAAGCCAAAGAAATAATAAAAATAATTTTCCACCCTGTATGCCATCATGGCTGGTAAAAACTGCACATATTAACTCTGATAGAAGCCACTGAGCTTACATACTTGTGAAAAGAGGTATGTACAGTACCTCTGACAATACATGAAGTTAAAACATGGTGTTCAAGGTAGATACTGAAGGTTAATTATCATATCACTGATATTCATAGTACATAAAATGATAACCCATTATATTGTCACACTAATAGATTAATAACCAGCATCAGATTTTACAAGCAAACTGATTACATAAATCAAACTCAGTCTCAGTATATTCAAGGGGTTAGTTTTGTATAATCTCCTTGAACCTTATGAAAATTTACTCCAATACATTCCAAAACACTAATCCTTGTTTATATAAATTTCCTTAGCAATGTTCTCCTAAAAATTATCTGGACTAAATCAAACCAGATAATTATTTAACTGAAAATGCATAGCCAAATTCAATAGAAAAAATGTAAAATAGACACAATATGAATGTTATTATTTACTGTCAAAAATACCTTAGCAAAGAAATATGCTAACACCTTGTATATATTATTGCAATATTTTATAGAAAAGGAAACTTTCCAAGTTTCTGCACATTAAATAAATGGATGAAAGTTCACCTGTGAATACACACACAGCCATAAGAGACATTATCCAAGCAAATAATTTGAATATGTATTTATGAACGAAGAGCAACAAATTGATTGAAGGCATCAAGAATATGAGGATCAAGATCTTGAGTAAAGAGCAAGGTGCTCAGCGTCTGACTGTAACGCTCCACTTGTGTGTTGTGCTAGTAGAAAGACAATACATGAGCATTTGTTACTAACACATTCTAAATTTTAATGATCAAATGACAAAATTGAATTAAAATAACATGAAGTCTTGGAATGAAGTAATGTTACAGCCCTTACCATATTTATATAAAAAAACAATTTAAAGAATTTAAGAAATACAGCAAACTCTCTCAAAGGGAAAGAGATATATTACTGAAAATCTGTGGCTTACAGAAATTTGAGGTATGTGAAGTGAAGAACATGAAAAAAAATTTGGTTATGTTACAGACAACTCCATATTTGCCAAATAAGTTCTATGTAATATTCTCTTAAGTATGAATTACAGTACTACAATTTATCTTACCTTACATTTTTAGATATTTCACTAGTACGTATTCCTTCTACTCTATCAACTGAGTACAAAACAAATGCCCATTTACCTATTTCAACTACCCAATAGTGATCAGAAATTGGCAATTCAACCAATTTCACATAAAATTAAAAAACTGCCAATTTAAAAACAGGGTCCAGAATAAACAAAGTAGACATTCCTGGCACTAAAAAAAACATTTCCTCTGTTTCTAAGTCACATCTCTAAACTTGCTAAGATTTACTGTTATGCATACTACCGCATTATTGTACTAATTGTATAAATAATGTCGATGCATTCCTCAATACACATTAGACTGGCCAGTTAAATGCATACTGGACAAGTGATGTCATCTGTGTAATCTGGAATATTGGCAAAAATCGAACATTTCTGCTACACTGACCTCAATTTCCAGCTACTTTCAGTCCTGAAACCAATCAAAATCATCTTTATTTCTGTAATATATTCTATCAAGTGAGACGAAGAAACCAAGAATACAACCGTAAAAACCACACGAAAGTACACCTTAAAGTTGTTGTTTTAAACCAAAAACACGGTCACAGTTTTTTTCTCATTATGCACTGCATGCTGCAGGATTTAATATGGTGCACACAGACCCATTCTCTCACATCTAGGCCCAAATTTACCACTCATAGCTTAACTGAGTGACCTGAGCTCATGGCAAATTACAATGGGACTGATCCTGGCTTCAAAGCCATAATACAACAGGACTGACACCGAAAGGGTTAATAATAACACCAAAGTGCAAGAGCAGTTATGCTGGCAGTTCTTTAAACTTACGAGAAGCCATTAAGTGCTTCCCATCATGAAAAAATGCTAATTCTCGACTTATTGTACATAATTTATCAATTATATTTTATCATAGGTATGTGTGTATGTAAAGGGAAAACAATTTATACATAGGGTTCACTACTATCCTTGGTTTTGGGTATCCACAGTACAGCAGTCCCCCTTGGATACTGGGGGACTACTGTACAGTATATTAATTTTTTATGCCTAGCTCTACTGCTCCCTTATTACAGTCAAATCTCGGTTGTCAATAGCATTACTTGTCGAATAAATCAGTTTTCGAATGAGGTGCTTGAGAAACAATGTCTTGGTTTTTGTGCATTCTCTTGGTTGTCAATGGACAGGTTTTCACATACAGTGGACCCCCGCATAGCGACCTTAATCCGTGCAAGAGGGCTGGCTGTTATGCGAAATGTTCAGTATGCGAATGAATTTTCCCCATAAGAAATAATGGAAATCAAATTAATCCGTGCAAGATACCCAAAAGTATGAAAAAAAAAAATTTTACCACATGAAATATACATTTTCCTACACACAAAGAGAAGGATACATGCACAATAGTAGAGTAGTACATGCACAATATATATTGTGCATGTACTACTCTACTAAATGAAGAATAAATGACACTTACCTTTATTGAAGATGCAGCAATGACTGATGAGACACTGTGTCCTGGGAGTGCCTTTTCCTCCTGAGTACTGTAGGTCCTGTTTGGTATTTTCTTCCAGAACAGGCCTTATCACACTGTGTATGCCACTACGATTCTTAAATCTCTCAAACCAACCTTTGCTGGCTCTAAATTCACCAATATGAGCACTAGTTCCAGGCATTTTCCCTGTTCACCTGGGTGTTAGTCGACTGGTGTGGGTTGCATCCTGGGAGACAAGATTAAGGACCCCAATGGAAATAAGTTAGTCTTCGATGACACTGACTTTTTTGGGTTATCCTGGGTGGCAAATCCTCTGGGGTTAATTGTTTCTTGGTATTCTCAATAAGCCACACCAACAACGGTGGTACAGCAGCAGCAGCAGCTGACGGTGGTACAGCAGCAACAGACGATGCTACAGCAGCAACAGACGATGCTACAGCAGCAGCAGACGATGCTACAGCAGCAACTGACGATGTTACAGCAGCAGCAGATGATGCTACAGCAGCAGCAGAAGATGCTACAGCAGCAGCAGCAGCTGACGGTGGTACAGCAGCAACAGACGATGCTACAGCAGCAACAGACGATGCTACAGCAGCAGCAGACGATGCTACAGCAGCAACTGACGATGTTACAGCAGCAGCAGACGATGCTACAGCAGCAGCAGCAGCAGACGATGCTACAGCAGCAGCAGCAGCAGACGATGCTACAGCAGCAGCAGCAGCTGACGGTGGTACAGCAGCAACAGACGATGCTACAGCAGCAACAGATAATGCTACAGCAGCAGCAGACGATGCTACAGCAGCAGCAGACGATGCTACAGCAGCAGCAGCAGCTGACGGTGGTACAGCAGCAACAGACGATGCTACAGCAGCAACAGACGATGCTACAGTAGCAGCAGACGATGCTACAGCAGCAGCAGACGATGCTACAGCAGCAGCAATGATGCTACAGCAGCAGCAGACGGTACTACAGCAGCAGCAGCAGCTGACGGTGGTACAGCAGCAGCAGCTGACAGTGCAGCAGCAGCTGACAGTGCAGCAGCAGCTGACGGTGGTACAGCAGCAGCAGCAGCAGCTGTACCACCAATAGTAGCGATGGTTGATTGGGGTTTATTATACAACCTGGCCAGCTCGGAGACACGCACTCCACTTTCATACTTATCAATGACCTTTTTCTTCATCTCCATAGTAATTCTCACCCTTATTGCTGTAGGGTTGGCACTAGAAGCTTTCTTGGGGCCCATGGTCACTTATTTTCCAGAAAAAAAATCACCAAAAACACTGTAATAATACGAAATGTTCCGATTGTATGCTTGGATGTTACCGCGGAGGCTGGCTGGTAAACAATGCCACCGGTGGAACATGTGAGCGTGGCTCAGGCCGCACATTGGACGCGTCTCGGACGAAGGGCGGTGAGCGGGTTTTTGGGCGGTATGCGAGGCAAAATTTTTGCAATCAAAGCGTCCGGTATGCGGATTGTACGGTATGCGATGCGTCCGGTATGCGGGGGTCCACTGTTTATGGAATGGGGCAAAGCAGCTCAGGTCAAATGCTCATGGAATGCACACTGGATAATGGATCAAGAGTGTGGGTATGAGTCAGTATAGCTACTAACCTGCATGCTATAAACATCTCTTGAGCTTTTGTTGTGCATCTTGTGAACTTTTCTTGTTATTTTGCAGTTTTGGTGCAATTTTTTTTTGTGAGATGAGCCATTATGAGTCCAAAGAAGGATAAAGAGGTGAAAGCAAAAAGAAAAGTTGTAAAAAGCACTGTTGAGTTTAAAAAAAAATGAAGCTGTTAGAAAGTATGAAGATCGGCTCTGCATGGTTGATATAGCAAAACGTTTTGGTAAATCAGTGTCTACTAACAGAACGATATTGGGCCAAAGAGAAAAATTACAGCAGCTGACATTGCAAAAGGTGCAAAAGTGATATCAAAACGAAGGCCATAAATTTCTGAGCAGATTGAAAAACTCTTGTTGATTTGGACAAACAAAAATCAGTTACAGGGTAAGTGTGTTTCAGAGGTCATTATTTGTGAAAAAACAATGCAGTTGCATGATGACTTGAAAAAAACAAAGAAGTGCTGAAACTCGATCCCTCCTTCAAGGCTAGTAGGGGTTGGTTTGATAATTTTAAGGAAAAAAGTGGCATTCATACATAGTGTTGCTAGGCATGGGGAAACTCCCAGTGCTCAAAAAGTGGCTGTTGAAAAGTATGTTACTGAATTCCAAGAGTACATGGAGGCTGAAGGGTTTGTCCCCCAACAAGTGTTTAACCCCATAACTGTCCAAACGTAGATCTACATTTTCACTGCTAGCCTTCCGAATCAAGCCTCTAATCACTCAGCGACGTACTCATTTACTGATGACTCGGACTTGTGACAGGCTCTAACCAGTATGCATACCTAAATAATGTATATCAGAACTAATTTCATCTACAGTGGACCCTCAGTTATCGGCTGAAATCCATTCCAGAAGCTCGGCCTAAAACTGAAATGGCCAAAAACCGAAATAATATTTCCCATAAGAATTAATGTAAATACAATTAATCCGTTCCAGACAAAAATATTCACAAATTTTTTTTTTTTTTTTTAACAATTAAATCAGTATTATATACCTTTATTGAACACTAATGCTGGCTTCTGGAATGCTTGCTACACTTCCTGCATGTCTGCTACACTCCCTGCATGCCTGCTACACTCCCTGCATGCCTGCTACACTCCCTGCATGCCTGCTACACTCCATGCATGCCTGCTACACTCCCTGCATGCCTGCTACACTCCCTGCATGCCTGCTACACTCCCTGCATGCCTGCTACACTCCCTGCATGCCTGCTACACTCCCTGCATGCCTGCTACACTCCTTGCATGCCTGCTACACTCCCTGCATGCCTGCTACACTCCCTGCATGACTGCTGCACTTCCTGCATGCCTGCTACACTCCCTGCATGCCTGCTACACTCCCTGCATGCCTGCTGCACTCCCTGCATGCCTGCTGCACTCCCTGCATGCCTGCTACACTCCCTGCATGCCTGCTACACTCCCTGCATGCCTGCTACACTCCCTGCATGCCTGCTACACTCCCTGCATGCCTGCTACACTTCCTGCATGCCTGCTACACTCCCTGCATGCCTGCTACACTCCCTGCATGCCTGCTACACTCCCTGCATGCCTGCTACACTCCCT